GGCTCTCACCTTCCGGCTTGTTTTCGGCAGCCATTTCCCCTCCGCGCGCCACATCCTCCTCCGCCTCCTCGCGACCGGGACCCAGGCGCGCGCCGCCTCCCCCCGGTGCCGCCGCCGCCGTCGCCGGGCCTGCCACACCGCGCGCACCGCACACACCCCGGGCCGCCCATTGGGGGAGCCTCCGCATTGACATCTCCGACAGCCAATTGCCGTCCGCGGGGGGTGGGCACGGCGAGGGAATGGGACCTACTGACAGGTCACCCAGCCAACCGGCGTGGAAAGGCATTGTACTGACATATCCCTCAGCCACTCAGCAGCCACACAGGGAAGACAGGCAGAGGGGCGGGAAGTACTGTATTGACAGGTGCAGTGACCGATCAGACAGCGGAGCCGCCTCACTGACAGCTCCTTTCGCCAATCACCGAGCAAAGGAAATGGGCCCCGGAGGCTGACGCACAGCGCTGACCTCTCCGCCAGCGAACGGAGAAGGACACTGGACAAACTGACAGGCGCGACGGCCAATCGGAGGGGAGAGTCAGACGCCGGCTGATGACGCGACCTCCAGCTCTGCGAGCAGGCTTGACAGAAGAACGCCTCCTCCTCCCCCTGTAACCCTAAACAAAGCTGCTGATTGGTGCGGCCGGGCGGGCGGCACCCAATAGACGCGGCTGGAGTGGGGTGCGGCGCGCTGGTTGGCCGCGGCGCTGTGAGGCGCCGGGCTGAGCCGTCCCGTGAGGCGGCTACTGATGCGTGCGGGAGCGCTGCTCTGGGCCCTGCTCTTGGCCGAGGCGGCGCGGCACGAGCCAAGCGCAGCTCCCGGCCCGCGTGTGCGCAACTCCCCGGAGCACAGAGAGCCCCGCGGGAGGCGCTGCGCAGGGAGCGGGGCGGGATCCCGTGCTCCGCTGCCGTGAGCTGCGTCGTCCTGCGGCCGCGGGCGCTCCCTCCAGGCCCGGCCTCATTCACCCTCCAGCTGCTGCAGAAAAAGAGCGGAGCGTGACAGGCAGCGGTGCTGTTCCCCGGCCGCCCGGGGCACGAGGGAGGCAGGAATCTTGCGGTCAAAATGCGCTGTAGGTTCCCGTGCACACCAGGGAATCCCGTTCAAGCCATGCGTAGCAGTGCAGTGACATGTCTCCTCGCTGCCCGGTCTGTTACAACCGTGCATTAAAACTGTATTGCAAACATACAAGCGAAGGCTCAGGTGGAATCTTCAGAAAGGCGAGGGCTGTTTTCCAGAGGCTCCCGACTGCGCGGAGGTTCGGCACGTGTTCATAGGGACAATGCAAGATGTATCCTTCATGAAGGTTAAGTGCCCTGCCAGGCTTCCAGCCCCTGCTTCAAAGCATGGTAGTGCCACAGCTTCACACTGAATTCTTGCAAGTTTTTTTTAAAGTGTGGGTAAATCCTCTAGTTTTCTCTCTTTCCAGTCTTTGAGCTGGTTCACTCACGTTTTCCAAACAAAATCAGCTTGAGGGAGGTAGCATGGAAATTTTTGATCAAAACTATTCAAGCTTGGCACAATGATAAACAAGTGAATACAAGATTTTACAGTGGAAAATGCTTAGCAGCCTTAGCCAAAGGTTCTGCCTCCGGTAGGCTAGAAGATGTCACCCATTACACTCAAGGAAATGAGACAATTGTATTCTTTACTACACACATGGAACTGTCCCTTCAGTAGGGAGATGCTGATTCCTAACACATGATCAACAGGGTTTTCATTAAAGATGCACTAATACATAAATCACATATTGGATCAGCACCAATAAAAGGAAAATTAACATTGTTGGCAATCAGCTCTTTTTGGGCAGTATAGCCGATAATGTCACCGATAAATGCTGCATGTATGCACGCAGTCACAGCATGCAAATGGCCAGGAATGCAGCATGGCAGCGTGGAAAGCAGCATCCTACTAGTAAGTCTGTGGGGGAAGGGTGTAGAGGGGGCAGATCAAGGCCTCCATCGTGAGGGAGAGAGTGGGGCAGGGGCAGGTGCTGCCCAGCCAGGGCAGTAAATGCAACCCTGGGGTAGAGCTGTAGGTTGCTCATATGGGCAGTGTGGGGGACCTGGGGAGGGGCAGGCAGCTCCCCACCACTGCATGAACCCCAGGAGAGGCATGGGAGCATGTGCCACCCCCAAAGGTATGCACAGGGTGAAGGTGGGTTGCCCACTCTGGGCTCGAGGCAGGACAGGTGGGCAGGAGCTCTGGGAGGAGGGTCTATGGGAAATTTTGGGGTGGCCATAACCCACTCCACAGCCCCCACTCCCAATGCTGACCCTGCCCATCCCTCCCCTGCCTGTCCAGAGCACAGCCCCAGCCCAGCCTCCCACCAGGAAGAGGCGAGCGCAGCTCCTGGCCACAAGCCCGCAGTGGGCAGCCTGCCCTCTCCCTGCGCACAAATCCAGGGGGGCATGCCCCCCATGCCTCCTCCAGGGGTGCGCGCAGCAGCAGAGTGCCAATTCCCTTCCCACCCCCCTGCAGCCTCTGGACGAGCCACCCATGACTCTACCCCGTGAATCAGCAATTTGGACACAGACACAGCTTTAAATGTTTTTTCTACCTCGAGGTACCAGCGCGGCTCGTGAATGCTGCAATGGTGGGGCAGATGGAGTGTTCCACAGGAGCGCACGCCCCCCCCCCTCCCCCAGCTCAGCAAGCGGTGCCTCCTGGGTCTGGGGGGACACCCAGGGTCCCCCCGTGGCTGCTTGCCAAGCCAGGGAGCACGGGGGGGCCCCCTGCACACTCCTGGTGGACCCAGAAGTGGACCGGAAGTGCTTGTGGTCCACTTCCAGGTCTGCTGCTGAGCACTCTGGGGACCCCGCCATGCTACTGTGGGATGCTTCATCTGCCCCACCATCGCAGCATTCATGAGCCGCCTGCTACCTTGAGGTATGTAGAAAAAACATTTAAATCTGTGTATGTCCAAATCGCTGAATCTCTCTGAATCGATTTGAAGAGTTCTGATTCGATTTAGAGAGATTAAAGGGTCCCCTGATTCGATTTGGATTTGGACATTCGGCCACCGAATCAGGCTGAATCGCTACCAAATCAAATCAGGGACTGAAGCTTCACACAGCCCTACTGGTTAATAATTGGCCCAAAAAATCTTTACCAGTGCATCCCTAGTTTTCATGTCATTTCGTCATTTTCTTTAAAACCAACAGTGATTCTGGCACTCTTACTAAACTAACCCTTTTCTGTCTTCCACTTACCTGGCATCTCTGTTTTCTTATGATACGAAAAAATGGCTTTTCAGTTACAACCTCAGGTCTCCATTAGTGTCAGACCAAAGTATCAAGTCATTATCTCTTCCTAACGCGCTTTAGGCCAACTGCCATCTGTGCACCAGTGGCTGCAGGCTGCATGCATCCTTGCCACACACGTTCTTCAGGGACTAGAGATCCCTATTGTGCCTATCAGCATGTTTTCTTAGTAAACCTGTGCCAATGTGGTTTGAAAAAGGAAGGGCTGGACACATCACCAGCATCCCTAAAATTAAGAAAATGGAAGATCCTTAGCTTCTGCCATGGGCTGCACTGGGAGCTAATTTAGTGAAAGAACAAGATGGAGGGGAAATGTGACATACTTTGGGTAGTATTTTCCATCTTATTAAAAAAATGTCTGTTTTTTATATTAGTCTTGAATGAAAGGTGTCCATTACACGTAGTAGTTTCAACAAGTTTCTATACCAGGGCGGGCAATTATTTTGGGTGGAGAGCTGCTTACAGAGTTTTGGCAAGCCATTGAGGGCCACATGATAGGCAGCCAGGGGCAGATAAATATTGTCTAAATTTTTTAGGGGCCTTGCAGGCCAGATAGAATGGCGTGGTGGGCCGCATCCAGCCCCCAGGCCGCATTTTGCCCACCCCTGTTCTATACCATCCTACACCACGGCAATATCAACACAAATAAAAATACAAATTTGGGGGCACTTGAGCATTAACCCGTTTCTAAGATGATTGACTACTCATTTGTACGCTTTGTTTTCTGTCTCAGCTAATTTCTAATCTATAAAATATCTTTACCATTCATCCTATGACTACTTTGTTTTCTTAATAGCGTCTTTGTGAGGGACTTCATCAAAGGCTTTTTGGAAGTCTAATAAATTGTGTCTACCAGTTCTCATTTATCCACTACCTTAGATAATTTTATTAGGTTGTAGAAGCATGTTTTTCCTCTACAGAAACCATGCTTTCTTTTCTTTATCCCATCATGATATTTTTAGTTATTTTTCCTGCTAATTTACCTGATATTGAAGTAAGGTGTGCCTGTCAGAATTGTGCTTAATCACATTTTGTTATATTAATTGGATCCAACACATTTTGGAAATCACAATCTCCAGTTGACCAAAAGTAGCTCTGGGGCTGCTACCAGTCTTTCCATATTCTTTCATAAAGCCAGGGATATGTCCAGTCTCCTCTTAAAGACTTCCAAGGTAGGGGAGAGCACCACCTCCCTTGGAAGCCCATTCCAGATTCTAGTAACCCTTACCGTAAAGAAGTTCTTCCTTATGTCTAGTCTAAATTTGCTCTCTGTCAGTTTGTGGCCATTGTTTCTAGTTACTCCAAGGGGCACCTTGGTAAACAGAGTTTCTCCTGCTTCTTGCTGCACCCCACAAAATCACCTCTCAGATCTTCTCTTACAGAGGCTGAAGAGGTCCAGGTCCCTCAGTCTCTCCTCATAGGGCCTTACCTGCAGGCCCCGAACCATATAAGTGGTCCTCCTGTGGACCCCCTCTCGAGGTCATCCACATCCTTCTTGAAGTGTGGTACCCAAAACTGAATGCAGTACTCCAGCTGCAGCCTCACCAGTGCCACATAGAGGGGAAGTATCGCCTCCCTGGACCTGTTTGTGATGCACCTGTTAATGCATGATACAGTGTGGTTAGCTCTGTCAATCACTTTGCTACATTGCTGACTCATGTTCATCTTTGAATCAACTATGACTCCAAGATCCCTTTCTGCTTCTGTGCTGCTTAAAATTAATCTCCCATTCTGTATATGTGTTGGTCATTCCTTCTCCCTAGGTGCAGTACTTTCCCCTTATCCTTGTTAAACTACATCCTATTTTGTTCTGCCCAATTTTCCATCCTGTCCAGATCCACCTGAATCCATTCCCTTCAGTATGTCTACTTTGTCCCACAATTTGGTGTCATCCATGAATTTGGATGACACCATGCCCTCTTCCAAATCACTGACGAAGATGTTGAATGTCACTGGCCCGAGGACCGAGCCTTGGGAGACACCACTGCCGGCATCTTTCCAGGTTGATACCGACCTGTTCACCACCACTCTCTGGGTGCATCCCATTAGCCAATTTGCCACCAATCTGATTGTGTAATCATCTAAGTCATAGCCACTCAGGTTTTTTTTTATGAGAATGGGATGTGATACCATATCGAAGGCTTTTTGTGATACCGTATCAAAGATTCCTGCATCTAAGCAGTTTGTGACCTGGTTGTAAAAAGAAACAAGGTTTGTCAGGCAGGATATATCTGCTATGAATCCATGCTGGTTGCCCTTCAGTATTATTTTGCCTGCTGGACTCTTTATTTATGCATATTTTCTCTTGACACTTCTAACAGCTAGCTTACATTTTACCTGTCCTATATAGTTTCTATTAACATCACTTGGGCTAGTTTTTTGCAGGATATCTTCTTGGCCTCCATGAACTTTTTTAATTTGACTTTTTATTAGAGGTGCACTGATACATAAGTCTGATATTGGATCGGCACCAATATTTAAAAAATTGACTGTATCGAAAATCAGCTATTTTTGCCTGATGTGGCTCATAATTTGGTTGATAAATACCCCATGCATAAGCGCAGCCACAGTGCAGCACATAACCAGCAAAGAGCACAACCTGGCAGCTTGAAAAGCTGTGTCCAGCTGGTAAGTCTGTTGTGGTGGAAGGGGAGGGGGAAGGGAAGGGGCATGGGGGGAGCAGATCAAGGCCCCCACAGTGAGAGTGGGAGTGAGGCTGGGGCAGGCGCTGCCCAGCCGGGGCAGGGCAAGGCGCAGGATGGAGCTGTGACTCGTCTGGGAGGCACAGGAAGTGGGGAGGTGGCTCCCACTTCTGTGAATGCCCCAGGAGGACATGGAGGGTGTGTGCCCCCAGATCTGCACCGGGTGAGGGGGGGCTGCTGCTGTAGGCTGGGGCTGAGGCTGCACCGAGAAGGCTCTTTCTGGCAGGGGCTGCGCTGGGCTATGCGCAGGGCAGAACGGGCAGCAACACTAGAAGGGTGAGTTGTGGCAGGGGCTATGGCGAATTTTGGGGTGTCTACAGCCCCCCCCCATGACCCTCTCCCCAGCACCGCCACCATATGCCCTGAGTCCAATCCGGCTCAGCCCCTGTCAGGAACAATCCAGCGCAGCCCTGGCCCCAGCCCGAAGCAGCAGCCCATCCTCCCTCAGGTCTTGACAGGAAATCAGCAGCTACATTTGCTCCACCAGCTTGGTGTTCCACTCAAAAATATAAAGGTTGTAAGACTAAAGGCAACCTTGTTAAATGTGCATTTTCAGTTTTGGCTGACTGGAGCCACTTGAGTGGGGTATGATCAATTATAAAAACAAATTGTCTTCCCAACATATAATATCATCTGACCCCAGCGCTCTTTCCTGTCCAGGGCAGGGGCTCGAACTCAATGACCTAATGAGGTCCCTTCCAACCCTAACATCTATGAATCTATTAATCTAAACAGTTCCAGCCTCCCAGCGAATAGCTAAGCACTCTTGCTCAACGGTGGAATAGCATGTTGCTGGAGGTGATAGCTTCTTGCTCGCATACGCCACCGGTCTTTCCTCCCCACACTCCTTTTGGAACAGTATAGCCACCAGGGCTGTGCCCAAGGCATCAGTCTGTAAGTAAAAGGTCTTTTGGAAATTAGGGATATACAATACCAGTGCCTGGTATAAGGCCCATTTGATGTCTTCAAAGGCCTGAACAGCATCATCCTTCCATTTGACCAGATTTTTCTTACCTCTGGTTAGGTCTGTAAGTGGAGCTGCTATGCGAGCAAAATCTCTTATGAACCAGCGGTAGTAATTAGCAAACCACAGAAAGGATCTCACTTGTTTCAAGATTTTAGGGAGCTTGTATCACTGCAGGGCCCCAACCTTATCGGCTACTGGCTGGATTCTGCCTTGACCCACAATGAACCCTAAGTACTGGGTTTCACTTTTCCCGAGGGAATATTGCTTTGGGTTCACAGTCAAGCCTGCCTTACATAGTTCTGACAGGACAGCCCGTAGGTGCCAGCAGTGATGTCCCCATTCTTCTGAAAAGATGATGATATCATCGATGTAGGCAGACACATTCTTGATGGAGGGGCCAGGACTCTGTCCATCAAACTCTGGAACGAGGCAACTGCCCCATGTAGCCCGAAAAGCATTCACTTAAAATGAAACAGCCCCCAGGGGGTACCAAATGCCATCTTCTCTCGATCCTCCCTTGCCATTGGTATCTGCCAGTACCCCTTCGTGAGGTCAATTGTTGAGATGTACCGGGCAGTCCCAATTTTCTCCAATATGTTGTCTATCCTGGGCATGGGGACTCAGCTACCTCATTTACTTTTTCGAAATCCAAACAAAATCTGAGTGTACCATCTGGCTTAGTAACTATCACCAACAGGCTCCTCCAGGGGCTTTGTGATTCCTCGATGATCCCTAGTTGTCACATTTGTTCTATCTTCTTCTTGACCACATCCCACTGATGTCTGGGTAGCCTTCTCCATTGGTTTCAGACGACACAGCCCACTGGAGTCTTGATCCTACGGTTGATGCCTCATGCCTCCTCCAGGGTCTCCTTGAAGACATCTCAGAATTAATTTATTATTTCCTCCAATCCCTCCTGTTGGTTTCTTCTAGCATCCCCTCCACCACTGGGTGCCTCCCAACCTCCGGGGATAGTTCTGGACCTCCCAGGTCCCCATCTTTCTGCATCAACCCCCTCTCCTGAGGGTGCCACTTCTTTAAAAGGTTAATATGATAAATCTGTTTCCTGAGTTTAGGTTCTGTCCTCAGCACCTCATAGTTTACTGGGGCCACCTTCCTAATCACCCAAAAGGGTCCTTGCCAGCACACCAGCAATTTGTGCATATCATCCGGCAACAGCACCAGCACCTGGTCCCCTTCCTGAAGTTCTCTTTCCTAGGTGTGACAGTTATATAAGCATTTGTGTCTTACCTGGCTCTGTCCCAGGATCTCTTGGGCGATGCTCCTGGCCTTCTCCAGTCTCCCTAAAATCAGTTACCATCTTCGGGGTCACGGATCACCCTGGTTCTGATTCAGTCTATCCTTCACATATGAGGTCTATCAGTCCCCTGGGCTGGTGCCCATAGACCAACTCAAAGGGAAAATATTGTGTGGACACTTGTGGGGCTTCTCTTACTGAAAACAACAAAGGCAGCAACATTTCCTCTCACTTACTGGGGTCTCCTTGTATCCTGCCTGAAATCATGGCTTTTAAGGTACAATTAAAGCACTCCACAAGGCCATCCGTTTGTGGATGGTACACCAGCGTTCTGAGCTGCTTGATTTGCAATGTCTTACATCGCAAATCAAGCAGCTCAGGTCGGCTGACATTACATTTTTTCCCTGGTCTTTTAGGAGTTCTTGTGGAATCCCTACCCAGGATGCCCAATTCGTAAGTGCTTCGGCTACCTTGGGTGCTGTCACCGATCGTAGCGAGACCGCCTTGGGAAATCAGGTTGCATAATCTACGATAACAAGGACGAATTGGTATCCTGCCTGGCTCCGAGGAAAGGGTCCTGATATATCCAAGGCTATTCAATCAAATGGTTGCCTGGCCAATGGGAGAGGCATTAGTGGAGCCCGTGGTGGTTTTGCTCCACCGGTCTTTTGGCAAGCCGGACACACCCGGTATTCTCAACCATTTTATAAATCCCAGGCCAGAACACCCATCTGGTTAGCCTGGCCTCTGTCTTATCTCTCCCCATATGCCCCCCTATAGGGAGGTTATGGGTCACTCGGAGAAGGGTCCTCCAATAAGATCAGAGCACCAATACCTGGGTCTGTTCATCCCCATCCCTTCCCCTTTCCATGCAGTATAGCACATCATCCCTTACCTCAAATCACGGACTTTATGCCATCAGGTTGGGGTCTAGCACCTCATCTTCTCTCCTTGCCAGGCACTCACACAAAATGTTTTGATAGAGCAGTTCTTGGTTCTCTTCCCGGAAGGTGTTCTCTCCAATTATCTGATCCAAATCTAACTCCTCCTCCTCCTAACTGGCTGCCTCTCCAAAATAGACTTCCTGGGTAAGGTATTCCTCACTTCCCAGTTTTCCCATTAACCACATCACCACATCTCGCAAGTGTGACCAATCTACGCCCAGAAGCATGGGGCAGGGAAAGGTTTCAGCTAACCCCACCACCAACTCCTTGGTTTAACCCAGCATGGTCAACCAGAGCTTCCTTCATTCATACGTGTATGAGGCCCCATGGATACAGACCATGCTTACTACACTCTCTGGTGTACCCAGCTGTGGGGGGGGACCAGATCTGCCCTTACCATGATCTGAATACATCCAGTGTCAACTAGCGCGGGGATTATAGTGTCACCTATTCTTACATCAATCAGAGGTTTAGATTTTTTTCCAGGAGCCCTCATGTCTCCCAAAGCTGCAGTCCATTTTTTCCTCATGGGGGTAGTCAGGCGCAGCTTCGGTTTGCTGCCTCTGGTGGCAAAAACAGGCCAGGTGCCCCTTTTCCCCACACTGGTAGCATGTATAATTTCATGTGGTTCCCCATTTCAAACCTCCCTGCTCACAGCTCTAGGGAATTAAATCTTCCTCCCCTTGAAACCTCCCTCTGCCTGTCCAGGATGGGTGAGGGTCCCATTCCTTTCTCTATTTAGGGGTGCCTCCTCAGTGGATTTAGACTGATGCCCCTTGACCCCCTGCTGGGCACTCCCCCCCCATCAGTCAGGAATTGTTCAAGTATTGTCATATCTACCACTTCCTCTAACATCTCTTCCTCAGGGTGCAACCAATGCTCTGCTAGATCTCTTAATCTCTGGGCAAGTGAGTGTGACTGAAGTTCCTCCCCTCACTTCTTTGCCTGAAACTTTTGCTTGTACATCTCGAGGGTCAGCTCCAGGCGATACAAGATTGCAGCTTTGACTTTGTTGTAATCTCTAGACTCGGACCAAGTCAAGGCTCTGTATGCTGCCTGTGCCGGTCTGATCAGGAGGGGCCGTATGTAAGCAGCCCAGGTGGTGGGATCTCACTTAGCCGCAATAGCTGATCATTCAAAAGCCTCTAGGAAGGCTTTGACGTCATCTTGGGGGCACATCTTGGGCATCAGGGCTCTCCCCCCGGGACCAGTGTACCTGCTGTGCTTTGATTATCTCACTGAGGTCCTGTTGTCGTGCGAACAGCTGAATCCTGGCCTCAGCTTCTTGTGTCCTCATTTGTATGAGCTCCTCCATTTGAGCCTGGTGTCCTTGCAAAATTCTTAATGTCAGGGTGTGTGCCTGTGGCCAATTGGGGTGGGGCCAATTGGTGGGGTTGACTTCATGAACTCCATCTTGCCAGGGTGTATTCACTGCTTCCCAGCCAATGCACCACTTGTGGCCAGGTGGGGTTGACTAACAAAATCTCTCTCTCTGGGGCTATCCTGCCACACCTTGATGTGATGGAAGAATAAGAAGTTAATTCCCCAATGAGAGAGGGTGTAGGAAATCACCCCAAAAGCAGGAGAAAAGTAAATTGGTCCTTATCACAGCGTGCAGTCTTCCTTCTCCCTTCACCACAGTGCAACCCACTCCCCTGAGCCTGGCAGCTTGCCTAAGTCTCTCTCTCTTTTTCCCGTGCAGGGATCAGTGGATTCTTCCTCCGTGGGACTGTCTCTCCACCTGGGGATCAATCCAGTAAGTATCTCCCCTCTCTCACCTCTTCACTTTGCCAGCTGCTGTGGTTATCTTCACCCGGTCAACTGGTCTGATCGGCAATCTGCTCCAGCGCTGGGTTTGCCGCTCCTGGCTTTCCCCGCAGATTTTCCTCACGCCATGCCCCAGGGGACAAAGAAAAGACCCCCGGCCCTGGTCTCTAATAGTTGCTGGCTCTTAATGAGGTGAAATTCCCATCTGGTGTGATCGCTTTCCCAACTGTGCCTATTAAGTAATTATCCTTGCCCCACCCTGACCCAACTTTCCCCTGTGCCTGCAATGCTGTAGCAACAAAGCAACAGGGCTGTTCCTTGCCCTGTTACAGGTTGTTTATTTGAAACATCAGTAATTACTTTTTGAACCAGCCAATGTGTTACTATGAAGTTATACCACCTTCTCAGAACTCAAAAGCAGAACAATAAAAGGAGTCTGGTATTTCCTCGCTAGAAATAAAATGGCCAATTGAATGTTGCAACGGTCAGACATGAAATGACTAGGGCAGTAGCTCCTTGTCTGTGTGAGACTGAAAGGGCCAACTAACCAGGAGAGCAGAGTGGGAAAAATTAGTATGGACTAAGTTATTACACAACAGGAAGCTTTCAAGGTAATTTTTTTTCCTAATGGTTAAAATCTGGGGAAAGTAGCTTGAAGTTTCCAGAACTAGAGTTGTGAATACTGGTTGTATGAACTAGTTATATTCCTATTTTCCAATTGTATGTAATATCCATATAATTTTACAGCTGCATTCCTGTTGGTATGTTAAGTGTTCTCTTTGGCCTCATCCAGATGAGCACGGACGTGCAGTATGTGGCGCTGCAGACCTGACTGCAGCACCGCACATGCAGTCATTCCCTGCACTACTACCTTGCAGCACGGGGGTTTTTTTGACTCCGGGAAATATCAAAGTAAAAAAACCCTGTGCTTAAAATAGCAGGGCAGCGCACACGGCAGCAGCATACACTGCCCAAAACCGGAGCCTGGTCTGTTGGAGCTACACTCCAGCTGCCAGCCGTGCTCCTAGCTGCAGGACCGCTGCAACTGCAGCTCCCCAAGGCCCCCAGGACCCCAGGTAAGGCTTCTAGGGTCTAGCCTCCTCTACCCCACCCAGAGTAACCTGCTGTGCACCAGAGGGTTCCCTGGGGACAAGTAGCAGTGGTGCAACCCCAGAGAACAATCTGCAGCTATAGGATTTCATACCCTTCTCTTCAGGGCTCCTTTTACTACTTTAATATACAACTATTTTACTCAGATTCAACATGTTAGACATGTCCTGTATCCTGGTCTAGGCTTTTCTGCAGGGGCTTGTCTACTCACCATAGAACTACATTTCATAGAGCACCTATGTACAGGCAAGTCTGAAATTAACTCCCCTTGTAGGATCAAACACAGTATGATAATGTGCTAACAACATAGCTAGTCCAAGCTTTTACTACAAAAGCATGTATAAATAACTCTTCTGCTAGCTAGTGCCACAAACAAAAGAGGTTTTCTTTAATTATCTAGGAAACCTTTCCGGGAATTTAACACCAACTCAAACTCCCCCCAGAAGCCTGGGAAAGTAAATTAAGTTGCTTGGGTATCCTTGACAAGCAAATCTCCCCTACTTGCAAGCACTGACTGCCAACTTTTAACACAGAAAGAACTTTACTGGAATAAGTGAAAAACGGTATACACTTTGGAAAATCAGTATTTAATAAATCAACAGTACCTAGCACATAAATCTCCTACATCCTCCCCAGACTGTCTTGGAAATAATTCTAAACTGAGTCTTCCTTTCAGTTGTGACTGGTGAGACAATGCATCCTAGTTTTAGTGACTTCCCTTTGTTGCTGTGCCCTCCTCATGCTTTTTTTCTAGGCTTGGCAGAGTCAAAATCTATGTGAGCCCCTCCCTTGTCCCTGAGGGATGTACTGCTATGTAGTCTACCCCAGCTGTAATGAATACAGCCTAGGAACTGAATAGGGAGGCCCTCAGAGGACTCCCTCAGCTTGACTGCTGCTCTCAGTGGCTTCAGCCCAAGCCATCTCCGCATCATTTCAGCTCTGTCTACCCCTAACAATACCACAGTACCACAATGAGCCTTCATAAAGACACCTGCATAATACAGAAACCAAGAAAGCAGCCCTTTTCCATACTTGTCTTCTTTAGGTATGTCTAAATTCCCTTGCTTGACCAATCCAGGCTCAAGTTATAACCCTTGAACCCTGGTATATTTAGTACAATGCTCTTGTCCTTTCATTACCCAACAGAGATAACAACATTTTATTCCCTCCAAACTCAAAGCTTAACTCTATTTTCACCAAAGGGCCCCAAACTATAACATAACTGAAATGCAAATGAGGCCTGATTTATTCAGTTATATCCCCTTGTTCATCCATCAGTGCCAACAGTGAGCTCCCTGTACCATGCAGGTTTTCCATCAGGCACATCCAAGCAGCCCCATGCCAATTTTCCCTGTTCACCAACAAGTGTCAACAGTAAACTACCTGATCTCTAGGGATGTAGGTGGTAGGGCTTACATATGTCACAATACATTTTGCGCTCTGTGTTCATTTTTTCAGAGCAGACCATTTCACAGTTGTCTGGTATACTGCCTGAATAGTCTACAATTGCATGTTCTATTTATTACTCTGTGCTTATGACATTTCAGACATTTCTGCAATATCTGGTTTCTCTTCTACCAAACAGTTTAGTTCACCCAGTTTTCCTTCCAGATTTCTGCTCTAAGGTACAGACACTTCTAGGTTTGTTAATAAAACTAAGCATGTTTTCATGTGACAGTTGCTAAGAGAGCCATTGGCCTCAGCTGGAATCTGATATGCTCACTGATCGTCATGGGCAGTGTTTTTGGCTCATTCATTGGCTGTCCCATCTACAGTTGTAAAGCTTACATTTATATCTATTATTCTATGTCTAAACATCACAGAGCCACTGAATCTTTCATAACATTGTGAATATTGACAAATATTGATGCATTAACTGTTGATAATGCTGATGGAGTTACTTCAGTTTAATTGGAGTGAACAAACTTGTTTTAAAAAGGCAAATTACAACATAGAACCTTACAAAAATCTAAGAAAAGATAGAAGAGAGAAAGTCCTGAACCAAAAAAAAAGAAAGAAACTATGATTTCCTTACATAGTGGATATCCCAGAATAGTCAGGTAGAGGAATTTCTGCAAAACACAGTAAAATCCTATGCAGACTGAATCAGTGACACCTGATCTGCAGTAGGTTCAAATGCCCTCTCCCATTCCTTCTGACTTGCCTCTTCAGTCTTACTCAACCAGTCAGTCATTTGCATCAAAAGTAAAGGAAAGACCTGAGGCCAGAGTTGAAAGTATTCAAACAACTTAATCTCTTTTAATTGTGGGTCTCTATCTCCTATACAATTGCAAAACATTATTGTTAATGTTATGTCTTCTGAAGATCTCAAAGCACTTTAAAACTCTAGCTAATGTAACATCTAATTAATGTGACACCGAGAAGGTGCACTTGGAGAACACGTCACCTGACATGGAAAGATACAGCACAAACTGGAATTTTAGCAACACAGTAGTGCCACACAATAGTTAAAACCTGAGATAAAGAGCACAATGCTTTGTTGTAACAAAGGAGCACCTGAGGAATCAGAACATAAAGTGGGAATTTGGCCAAGACATCAAACTATCCTTATCCTTTTCCTACTTTGGCAAAAATGGCATGAAACTTAATTGTTCACAGGTGGTCAGAACCTTCCTTTTAAATAGCAGCCAACAGACAGTCTCTAGCAGCACAGTTCCCCCAAGTTGTTACCCATGTCATTTCCAGCAGCACCTATGTTCTTTGGAGTTAGCATGGCTCCAAACATAATAGCTGATAGACACCTGCTTCCCCTCCTTCAGTGGAACTGCCAAACTGACATTATGGCAACATCTCATCTCTACGGCATTTTTGCCTTAGGTTTTTGTGGAGAAAGAAACCTGCCTACATCAGTTCTGCAATCAGATAGTTGTTGTTCAACTTGTTTTAGACATAGACAGGTACTTGTGGGAACAGAAGACAGGAACAGATACAAGTCTTAACTTACATTAAACGGCAAAGAATCCTTTGCTTACAGAGGTTACCTAGTGAATTTAATTTTAAGACAACTATCTAGTCATTTTCTCTGCAGAAACAATAATGAAATTGCTAACTAGATAACTAAACCATCGATATCAGGTTAAATCATTACATGTAATCTAGTAATGTAATGGTACCATCTGGTAGTGGAAGAGGCCAGGCCAGGCATCCCCAAGGTGAGAGGTTCTAGAACATTGCCACCAAGAGGAAGCATTGTGTGGCAGTGGTTGGAGATGCCCTTCTGCGGTAGACAGAGGAACCCATCTGCCGGCCTGAACTGTTGTCTAGGGAAATCTGCTGCTTGCCCAGAGCCTAGATCCAAGCTGTCACGGAAGGATTACCATGACTCATCCAGCCCTCTGACTACTACTCCATGCTGCTCATCCATGTGGTACAATGATATAGCCAGGGGTGATCCCAAAAAGATCAAAAGTGACTACAGGTCTCTGAGTTAAAGGGTGAAGGAGACAGGGGCTCAGGTGGAGCCCAGGCAGAAACAGACACATCCTACAAATCAGTGCATGGCCATGCAGATCGTGTTGCCGCCAGGGCTTTGGTTTCTTCAACCATGGGATGTTATTCTAAGAAGAGGGATTACTAGAAAGTGACAGGATCCACCTGACAGAGGGAAGAGCATCTTCACAGACAGGCTCACTAACCTAGTGAGGAGGACTTTAAACTAGTTATACTGGGAGGATGGAAATCAAAGCCCTGAGGTAAGTGGGAACCTGGGTGACCTGAAGGAAGCAGAAGCAAGAGGGGGCAATAGGAGAAGCGTTCTCATTCTTCCTGAGAAAGTAGGACAATTGGGTAGTTACCTCACGTATCTATACACGAGTGCACAGAGCCTGGGAAACAAGCAGGAAGAATTGGAAGTCTTTG